CTTGGGTCCTTGTACCCTCATGGGAGACTGGCAGGAAGTAGCTGGCTCCTGGCTTCGGATCGGCGCAGTGCTGGCCGTAGCGGCCATTAGGGAGTGAACCAACGGAAGGAAGACCTTTCTCTCTGTCTCTCTCTCACTGTCTATAACTCTTTCTCTGCCCCTCTCTTTCACTGTCTAACACTGCCTGGCAAAAAAAAAAAAAGCCTATCCTTGAACCAACATTAGTAAAACAGCTGTGACATCGCATCCCATAGGGATGCTGGTTCATGTCCCGACTACTCCACTTCCGATCCAGCTCCCTGCTAATGGCCTGGAAAAAGTAGAGAAAGATGGCATGGCCCAAGTGTTTGGCCTCTTGCCACCTACATGGGAGACCCACATGAAGCTCCTGGTTCCTGGCTTCAGCCTGGCCCAGTGTGGCCCACTGTGGCCATCTGGGGAGAGAACTAGGAAGATCTATTTGTCTCTCCCTCCCTCTCTGTAACTCTGATTTTCCAAATAAATAAATCTTAAAAAAAAAAAAATAGAATTAGTATCAAATCCTAATCAGATCAGTTCTATTCATTCGGCGAAAACATTCATTAGCCAGGTAAGTTCAAGATGTCAACTTGCCACTCTCTCAGATTCCTCTATAAAATGGGTTAACAATAGTCACTAATTTTATGTTAATGTCAGGATGAGATGAGCAAACAAGCTTGGCACAGTACCCTGAACACAATAAATGCTCATAAATGGAAGCCATCTTCCCTTTGGTCTACAGACTCCTCGATCATCTCCCACTCCCATCTGCATCCCTACTCAGAGCTGTACTAGCAATTCTCCTGAGACCCCAGGGAACAAGAGAAATCAGAGCCCTGAGAACGTACAAGGTCACAAAACACAGCCCTACTTTCCCCCTAGTTCAAACGCCTGGTTTTAACCTATGAAGGCCAAACTGACAAGAGAGTCGGCAGTCCCTTTCTGTGTAAATCCAGGTCAGCTGTCGGCACACAATTGGTCTATTAGGCCAAGTCAATTTTTAGAGGCAGGCCTGTTAAGTGAACTTAAAATGGAGATGAAAAGAAAGTGTTTGATCAAGTGTTAAACTGCAGAAACAAACTGACAGGGACACAAGACAGAGGAATTAGTTCCCTAAAATTATTCTCTGTGATACCTTTAGCTAACATTGGATATGCAAGGGCCTCCACACCCACCACCGCAGCTCTCTTCACGCGCCTGGAAGCTAAAGGAGCTGACTTGGTTCTTAAGTGTTCTCAAGCTTTCTTCTGTGCCCAAGTCCATTCAGCACTTAACCCAGAATCCAGAAAGGCTGCCGTTCAAATTCCTCCTGCAAATGAATTTCTCAAGCATTTCCAAATATTTGACTTCAAGGGGGGAAAATGCATTTCCACTTTAAAACAATCTTTCATCTCTAGCAATGCAAATTTTCTTTGTTTAACCAATCCACATACCACTAGCCAGTGTTTAATCAGGCCTTTATTTAACATCATCAGCCTTGTGGGTTACACAGCCAAGTCTCAAAGTTTCAGATAATGATCTCATTAACAGCAACAAATTGGTTCAATGATGAAATATGTATCAATACGTCTAAGAGCCCTTTAAAGTCCCTCCCTTTAGAACTACAGGAGATGTGTAATTAATTCCTCCAGCATTCAAGCTGTGTGCCTGACACAAGCACATGGGCTCCAACACTGTATGAATAAACAGGATACTAAAGGTAACTCACAGCATTTCTTCCCCACACATTGTTTTCACTGCAACTTTCGCAAATGGAGATGGCAACAACAAAAAATTGTCTTCATACAGACTACACCGGTGACCTCGTGATAATTATTTAAGCCTGAACTGCATAAAGGGAGAATGAAGATTCCGGGTGACTAATCCCAAGGTTGGAATTACTATGTCCCCCCACCTCCCCGACCAAAACTCTCTCACTCTCACTCTCTATCTCTCACACACACACATCTTAACCAGCCCTCCCACTACTCTAACCCAAGCAAATGACTGAACAAGCTTTCTTACCAGACTACAATAAGGTACCTACTGTATAAACACAGACAACACACACACACACACACATTTTTATTAGCACATAACAGGGAGAGAGAAAAATCAGTAATACAAACCAACTTCTCACCTTGGGATTTTTTTTTTTTTTTCAGATTTATCTATTTATTTGAAAGGCAGAATTACAGAAAGAAAGAAGGAGAGGGAAGGGGAGAGAGAGAGAGAAATCTTTCATCTACTGGATTACTCCCCAAATGGCAGCAATCGCCAGGGCTGGGCCAGGCAGAAGCCAGGAGGTTCACTCGGGTCTACCTCATGAGTGCAATGGCTCAAGGACTTGGACTATCTTCCAATGCTCTCCCAGGTGCATTAGCAGGGAGCTGGACTGGAAGTGGAACAGCCTGAGGCTCTTACCAGCACCCATAGGGATACTGGTGACATCATAAGCAGCAGCCGCTTAACCTTGGAATTCTTAAGGGAGAGGGACTTCCAAGTAGCATTATTCCTCCCTTATACCATGAATAACATTGTTAAGAATTCCATTAGAAAGAACAGCAATGCTACAGTGCTAGGATTTGGCTTTCAAGGAAAATGAACTCTGCTCTGAAGACCATAAAACATCAAACAGCAAATCACGCAAAGGTTTTTTTTTTTTTTTTAAGACAGTAAATAGAAGGAAGTTTTGCAAAGTTGAACTGGAGTAGTTATAAGACATGATTAACCTGAAGCCTAACAATGAATGCTGTATTCCCACCCAGCAGTCCTAAAACATCAGCTTTCTTTACAAAACAAAACAAATAAACAAAACACCACTTTTCAGGGCTAGCCAACAGGGGCCACACCAGTTCCAACAATCGGGTAGTATTCGAAGAACTAATAACACATGCCAGCCTTTGTGTACACACACACACACACACTCTCTCTCTCTCTCTCTCTCTCTCTCTCCTGAAAGCCACGCTGCACTCCATCCACCGACAGGTCGGCCACTACAATCAAGCTATTGCAGATACAAAGTGCACCAAGCAATGACTGTTCAAGACAGCTCAGATAAACTCACCAACATAACTGCACTTACAAGAGAATTAGGACACCTATTAGTGATTGCTTAACAGGTAAACTTATTAAATACCATTTAAGTCATTTTTCTTTACTTAGCAATTGTTGACTCAATTTTTTTTTCCTTTTTGCCTAGGCTAATGGACTACAAAAGAGTTAGATAAGCACTTCAAAAAGTTTCAAAAGAGAATAGATTCCTTCTGCCAAATTCACACATTATCTCTACTCACAAGGATAAAACAGTTACAAATGGTGTGTTTAAACTGCTAATTTTGTATTAAATGGTGAACCTGAGATTATCTCCAAAGCATAGCACTGCTTAGAATGGATAACTCAGCTCACCAGACAAACTACTGTGGAGAAAGAGTACAAGTGAAAACACAGCAAAGAATCCCTATCTTCAAAAGTTTCCTTCGAAACACCAAGCACACTAAGGTATCAGTTTTGTTTGTTTGTTTGTTTTTGGAAGGCTGTAAATGGAACATTTCTAGAGCCTTCAGGGCACAGCAGGAGTCTCAGAAGAGAGGCCCTAAGTCACAAGGAGCAAACAATTCTTGAAGGCTGTGGTAGAAATGTTTAAGATTGTCTTAAATTGAAGACTGTAATTATAACATCTTGGGGAGGGGGAGTCCAACAGCCTTTAACAACATTTGTAGTCACAGGATGCAGTCAGCGTGTGTTTCCCTTCTACTGACCAGGCGGAACTTAAGATGGGGACAGGAGCCCTGTCAGGAGGCACAGGTACCTCCTGCAGGTTGTAAAGGCGCACCTCTCCGGGCCAAGCCGCACAGCGCCAGGTCCTTCGCGTCTGCACCGGGGAGGGGGCGAGGAACGCAAGCCGAGAGGCTGCGCTCGCGCCGGACTGCTACGCGGTCGTTGCATACAACCCCCTTCTCTTCCTTGGCTAACCCACCCAAGAGCAAGGCGCAGAAGGTCCACAGGTTAGGCCCTGCAGCCATCGGATCACCCCGAAAGGTTCAAAGACAAGCCAACCATTTCAAAACACCCCCACCGCAGGCGCGCACAGTGACTGCCCTCTGCTAACAAGTTGATAAGATCATAACCAAAGAAGCGGGAAGGCATCTACCCAGCTAACCATCCGCAAAGGCTCCAGCGCGCCCAGCCTAAAGCTCTCCCTGGCCAGCTTCTTTGGAATGCAGACCTCTTTCCTGCGGAGCAAGGTGGAGGCCCTGTCAGTGAGCGACCCAGTCTCCCGAGTTGAGGCCTCTGCATTCGTTCTCGGCCAAGGGGCGGCCAGGCGGTCTCGCTCCCAGCCTCCGTGATCCCAGGCGCGCAGCGAGGGGCTGCCTTCCACCGCCACTCCGGGGGCAGGCACCCCGGATCCCCACTCCTCGGCCAGCTCCGCCCTCTCCCCTGCCTGCTGCTGCCGGCCCAGGGCCCCGCCAGAGGGTCAGCGCCCAGGTGAGGCGGGTGGCAGGTTCCAGGGGAGAACGTGAAGTCGTGCAGCCCCTCGGACAACCCCCCACCCAGTCGCTCCCCAAGAGAGCGTGCGCTGATGGAACGCAAAGCCCGAGACCCGAAACCAGCCGCCCCATCCCTTCGTCGCCTGTCTTTTCCAAAGTTGGCATTGAACAGGTAGCTCCGGGGACTTCCACTTGAGACAGCCAGTGACGGCGAGCCGTTTCCAGGGGGGCCGCCGCGGCTCGGGTGCTCGAGTCCAAGTTTCCTTCCCTCGCGTGCTCCGCACCCAAGCCAGGTCAGGGTCAAGCCTCCCCACGTGCGCCCCCCCCGCGGCGGCGCCCCGGAGGCCGCGTCCCGCCCGCGGGGAAGGGATGCCGCCGTCCTCCTGGCCGCCCCTCCCGCCTGCCCGCCCGCCCGCCCGCCAGTCAGCCAGCCCGCGGCGGGGTCGGCGGGCGCAGCCCCCGGAGCCATCTTGTGGCGGCGGCGGCGCGGGGCCCGGGCGGCGGGGCAGCTACCTGCACGATCTCGCCCTCGGCGCTGAGCGTGGCCCCGGCCCGCGAGAAGCGGCCCGTGAGGCCGGTGGTGTAGGTGGTGTAGTCGCCGCTCGGGCTCGACTCGAACAGCACCACCTCCACGAACGCCGTCTCCTTGGCCCGCGCTGCTCCGGGCCCCGCGGCCGCCAGCAGCAACCCGAGCAGCAGTGGCAGCGGCGGCGGCGGCGGCAAGCGGCGGCCGCGGGGGCCGCGGGGGCGGCGGCGGAGGCGACGGCGGCGGCGGCCCGGGGCCCCTGGGCGCCCGCCCGAGCGCGGCCTCATGGTCCTGCGGCGGGAGGGCGCGGAGGGCGGGCGCGGCCGGGCATAGTCGCGGGCCGGCGGAGGACCGAGCGCGGGCGGACGCCTCACAGCCCCATCGCGGCGGCGGCGGCGGCGGCTTTGTGGGTCGCAGGCTCCGCTCGGCTCCCCCGGCAGTCGCGCCGCGGCCCTTTCATCTGCTCCACGTGAGGGGTTATCCCCGCCCCGGCGGCGTCGTGACCCGCTCTCCCCTCCCTCCCCGCGCTCCGCCGCCGCCGCCGCTGTGGGGAGCGGGAAGGCGGGGCGGGCGCGCCTGCGGCGAGAGGCGGCGCCCTGCGGCCGGGCACGCCACGCCCCCGCCACGCCCCCTCACTTTCACCACGCCCCCTTGCCCCAGCTCCGCCTCCCGCCCGCCGTCTACGCTCCACCCCATCGGCCTCGCTCCGTCCCGGCAGGCCGCCTTGCCCCGCCCCCATCGTCCTGGCCCCTCCCCTCCTGCCGCCTTGCTCCACCCCAAGGTCCTCGCTCCGCCCTCACAAATCTCCTTCACCCCGCCCCTTCGTCCTCGCCCCGCCCCCTCAGCCCCGCTCCGCCTCCGCAGCCCTCCGCCCTCGGCAGCCGACATTTCTCCTCGCGGTTGCCAGAGTTCGGCGGGAATGGGGACCACAACCTGCTCCGGGGCACTGCGCATCCTCTCGGCGTCCTGGTCTGGTTCGGTCGTTAGGACCATTCCTCGTCCCGCCCGGCTTCCTCGCCCCCATCCACAGCTCCGAGGAGCTGGGCGCCCGCCCTGGGCCCTCCGCTCCCACCCCCCACCTCCCCAGGAGCGAACGGGAAGGGCCCCACTTGCAGCTCGGCCGAGCGAGGACGTGTCCGGTTCTCGCACCGGTGCCTCCTGCACTCTCCACGGGAGGACTGGGAGGAGACCTTGAGCAAGTCTTTTGGAGCCCAGTGGAGTTCGTTTTTCTGCAGCCTCGGAGAACAGCCCCCACCTCCACCCGCCATGCGGAGACTTTGTCTCACCAAGTGCAGAAAGTTGGAGGGGTCCAACACCATCACCCTTCATGCACAGACCCTTGGTTGGCAAATGAACATGCCCAAGGCACGTGCCCAGCGTCCCAGGGTTCCTGGCCACCCAAAAGATAAACTTTTAATTCCCTGCCCCTTTTAAGAACACTCCTTCTCCTTCCTCACGTAGCCCTCCATGAAAATGGAAATCCACCTCATTTCCTCCGTGAATCTTGCCCTGACCAAAATGACTTTGTTCAGATATGTGCAAATATTTGGTTAGGATGATCTGTTTCGACTGACTACCACACCCAAAATACTAAAAAGACAAAAAAAAAAAAAAACTCATTGAGAATTTTCTTAAGTAAACAACTCACTAAGTTTGCACTTTAAAGTAGGAAAAAATATCTTCAAAGTGTGGAATAAAAAATGCACTTGAGAAACACCCACAGTTCTGAGTCACCACATTTGGACCCCTGGGGACTTTTGCTCAGGAGAGAGGCACCCAGAAAAGCAGACCTCCGGAGAGAGTAGCTCTTCCACTTCTCCAAATCCAAGCCACCCATTGCTGACTGCACCTGGACACCACCTGTCCTGAGGAGACGGCTCCCACCCCCACTCCAGCATGAGGCCCCCACCCCCACTCCAGTCCTTAAGGGAGAGGGCAACCACCACAACCCATGTGTGACACTTTGCAGTGTTTAAAACCAAGGTCGGGGCAGCCATTTGGCACAACAGTTCAGGTGCTGCTGAGACGTTTGCATCCCGTGTCAGAGTGCCTGGGATCGAGTCCTGGCTTGGCTCCCAATTCCTGCTTCCTGCTAACGCACACCCTGGGAAGCAGCAGGTGATAACCAAAGTACTTGGGGTCCCTGCCACCTATGTGGGAGATCAGGATGGAGTTCCCAGCTTCTGGCTTCGACCAGACCGAGCTCCAGCCATTGGAGACACTGGGAGAGTTGACTGGCAGGTGGGTGATCTCTCTCTCTCTCTCTCTCTCTCTCTCTGTATCTCTCTCTTCCTTTTAAGTAAAAAAAAGAAAAAAAAAATCAAGGTCACCATCATCTACGAATGGTCCATACCATAGGATATTAGTCCTCAAGAAATGAAAGACTGATACATGAATGAACTTTGAAAACTATGCTAAGTGAAAGAAGCAGACCCAAAGGCCTGTAGGATTCCATTTACAGGACATGCTCAGAGAAGGCAAATCTAGAGAGATAAAAAGTACAATAGTTGGCTGGCACCGCGGCTCATTTGGCTAATCCTCTGCCTGCAGCACCGGCACCCTGGGTTCTAGTCCCGGTTGGGGCACCGAATTCGGTCCCAGTTGCTCCTCTTCCAGTCCAGCTCTCTGCTGTGGCCCAGGAAGGCAGTGGAGGATGGCCCAAGTGCTTGGGCCCTGCACCCGCATGGGAGACCAGGAGAAGCACCTGGCTCCTGGCTTCGGATTGGCACAGTGCACCAGCAGTAGCGGCCATTTGGGGGGTGAACCAACGGAAGGAAGACCTTTCTCTCTGTCTCTCTCTCTCTCACTAACTCTGCCTGTCAAAAGAAAAAGAAGAACAATAGTGGTTGCCAAGAGCTGGAGAGAGGCAGGAGTGAGTAGTGACTGCTAGTGGGTTTCTTTGGGGGATGAAACCGTTCTAGAATTAGGTATTGGTGATGATTGTACAACTCTGTCTAAAAACTACCTTTAAAGGGTGAATTTTATGGCATGTGAATTACATCTCAAGACAGTTGTAAAAAAGAAAAATTCCAGGGTGAGCAATTGACCTAGTAATTAAGACTCCTATACCAGAGTGCCTGGATTCAATACCATCTCTGGTCCCTGATTCCAGCATCCTGCTAATGCAGACCATGGCACTGTGTGGTAGTTACTCCAGTAACTGAGTCCCCCCACCCAACGTGGGAGGCCTGGATTGAGCTCCTGGCTCTGGTTTCAGCCTCAGTCCAGCATCAGCCATCGCATGTATCTGGGTACTGAACTCTATCTCTCTGCCTCTCAAATCAACTTTTTAAAAATAAAAATAACTGTGTTGTAAATGTCTCTTTAATTTTCATCCACTTGAAAGGCAGATAGACAGAGACTGAAGCGAGATCACACATCCACTGGTTCACTCTTCAAATGCCCACCACAGCCAAGGCTGAACCAGGCCGAAGCCAGCAGCCTGAAATTCTGCCTGGGTCTCCCACATCGGTGGCAGCCACCCAAGTTCTGGAGCCATCACCTGCTCCCTGCCAGGATGCATTAGCAGGAACCTGGATCAGAAGCAGAGCACCTGGGCCTGGAACCCACCAGCATTCTGAGAGGGAATATAGGTGTCCCAAGTAGTGGTGTAACTCACTCCACCACAATACCTGCCCCTTGTGAGTATTTCCATGTACACACACACATATACACAGGATACTGTGTAAGCATATCTTGTACTCTTTGAAGTCTCAGCTCAAATCTCACACCCTCAACAAGGCCTATGCTGACTACTCTACATAAAGCTGCAATGTACCCCATCTTCCACTCTCAACACCCACTGGCCTGCCAACCCCCGACACTGTGGCATTTGTCACCTTCTAACATACTAAATGCTTTGCTTATTTATTTTTATCTGTCCTCCACACAACCCTCCCTTAACACACACACACACACACACACACATACATGTGCGCCCGCCAGAGAACAAACCCTATAATGCCAGGGACCTTTGTCTTTGTCACTGACTTAGGCCAAGATAGCCTGGCCCAGAATCATCACTCAATAAATATTTGTTACATGAATTAATGACTAAATGAATGAGCAATAAGCTCATCAATGCATATCCCACCCATTTTGCAGACATTTGGGACAGCTTGTTAACAGCTGCTCAAGAACACTGGGCTTCTTGGGACCAAAATAAATTCTGAGTGTGGCAAAGAGCAAGAGTCCTTCCCTCAAGAATGGCAACAAAAACCCAGACTAGGGTCAGAAAAGAAACTGATTATGATTTTTTAAAACTCCGCTTGAAGAAAGATATACTAAGACATAGGCGAGCAACACAGAGAGAGCAAGATTCAACTCCCGGCAGCTCGAAGCTGTTTTGAAATGGAGGTATTTATCGGTATGAAGCTTCACCAAATTCTGTCAGGCAGTAAGGGGAGATAGAAAGTAACTTCAAATAAGAGATGAGACCCATCAGCTAGGTGCTAGGATGGGATCTGTGCTTTGGACACATGATAGAACTGAAGAGGAGTGATGCACTGTCATCCTCTCCTCTAAATCATCCTGGGTCTAACTTATCCTATTCCTTTCTCGACTTTTCAGACATAGCTCAGATGAAAATAACTGAGAACAGATGCATAAGCATTGGTTAAAGCTGCCAAACCTTTAGCAAATCTCACTGACTTAAGCCAAAAGCCACACAAAGCTTCAGGAAATTTTCTGCCATCAAAGTTCTATTTATATGACCAAATAGGGAAGCTCAGGGATTCCAAATCCATAAACAGATGTCTTGGTACCCAAAGAGACTATATTGGTGCTAAATAAAAATACACACGGATATTCACGTCCGTGTTGTTATTAATGCTAAAAGACAGGAAACAACCTAAGTGTCCATCAATAGGGGATTAGTTAAATAGATTATGGTACGTCCATTTAACAGATGAAGGTACTTCAACATTTTTGTTGTAAATTTCAATTGAAAGATAAGATTAGGGACAGGTGTCAAGGCACAAAGAGTTAACCTACCACTTGCAATGCTGCATCCCATGTCCGAGTGCCTAACATGGAGTCCCAGCTCCTCAGCTTCCACTCCAGTTTCCTGCCAATGCACCTGGGAGGCAACAGATAATGAAAGGACTCACCTACCTGGGCTCCTGCCACCCATGTGGGAAACCCAGTTTGAGTTCCTGGCTCCTGAGTTTGGCCTGGCCCTGCACTGGCTGTTGTGGGTATTAGGAAGTGAAACAGTGGTTGGAAGATTCCCTCTCTTTCTCTTGGCTCTCTCTCTGTCTCTCGTTCTCTCCCCATCTGCCTCTCTCTTATGTGTGTGACTCCCTCTGTGTCACTCTGCTTTTCAAGTACATTTTTTAAAAATGTATTTGGTGCAAAATAATTTTGAAATTCATGCATAGTTTTTTGTATAACACCCCATTGACTTTTTAAAAACCACTAGTAAAATGGAAGACATATTAAATAGCTATTAAAAAGAATGAAAAGTGGGGCAGCGACTGTGACATAGCGGGTAAAGCCACCACCTACAGTGCCAGCATCCCACAT